CAGTTTAAGAAAATACAGAACAAAGCTAATGCTCTGAACAGCACCTTAAGGAATAGTGATGTGTAGTTCTGAGGAAGCTATGTTAAGAGGAAGCGTCTCATCTCATAACTTCACTTGAAATAATGTTTCCCTCTGAGATAGTCTGAGTCAAGAGATAATTCTACTTTACTAAGATAGTCTATTCGCTCTGTATAGAGATTATATATAGATGCAGGGATTGCAGGGAACTTTCATTTTCTACCTCCCATAGCCTTAATTTTTAAAATACTTATATTGAGCATGGATTTTTTAATTATAAAAAAATTTCGGACAAATTGAAAAGTAGAGAGAACAGTCCGATAATGAATTTCAAAGTTCAATAATTTTTAGAAATGCATTATAGGGCTGGGCGCGGTGGCTCAAGCCTGTAATTCCAGCACTTTGGGAGGTCAAGGCAGGTGGATCCCAAGGTCAAGAGATGGAGACCATCCTGGTCAACATGGTGAAACCTTGTCTCTACTAAAAATACAAAACATTAGCTGGGCATGGTGGCATGTGCCTGTAATCCCAGCTACTCAGGAGGCTGAGGCAGGAGAATTGCCTGAACCCAGGAGGCAGAGGTTGCGGAGAGCTGAGATCGTGCCATTGCACTCCAGCCTAGGTAACAAGAGCGAAACTCCATCTCAACAACAGCAACAACAACAACAACAACAACAAAAAAAAAAAAAAAAAAAAAAGAAATGCATTATAGTGTGAGTTTAACTTTTTTATGACTCCTTGACTGATAGAAGTTCCAGGTGGTGCCACATCTGTGCAGTCCTACCCAACAGGAATCAGACCAGAATTTGGGCTGACCACAGCAGCTAGAAAGTGAGTAGAAAGCCATACAGGGTGGGAGAGGGACACCATAAATTCTGTGCAAAAACTCTACCCAAATATTTGGCTGTGCCATGAATTACACATGTGCTGTGCAGACTTAAACAGTCTAGGTCAGGTGTCCCCAAACTTTTTACACAGGGGGCCAGTTCACTGTCCCTCAGACCATTGGAGGGCCGCCACATACTGTGCTCCTCTCACTGACCAACAATGAAAGAGGTGCCCCTTCCTGAAGTGCGGATAAGTGGCCTCAGGGGGCTGCAGTTTGGGGATGCCAGGTCTAGGTGATGCTGAGAACTGCACAGATTTTTTTAGCTGCTTCCCACTCCAAGGAAGATAGAGTTTGGAATTTGAGTTTAGCCCATTTAGATGTCTACAAAAACAGAATAATGGTACTTTTTAAGAGGACCATAACAAAATCTCTATTGTCTCTTAAGTTTTCAAAATGCCAAGGCAAAAATCCAAAATTAGTAGATATTAAAAAATTAAGAAAATGTGACATGAAATTTAAAACGAATAAAGAGAATCAATAGAGACTAACCACAGAATTGATCAAGATGAAAGAATTAGTACTCAAGGATTTAAAAGTAGCTATTGTAACTATTTTGCTCAAGAATGTAAAGGAAATTATGCTAGTAATGAATAAGCAATAGGAAATTTCAACACAGAAATAGAAACTAGAAAAAGAACTGAAAAAAGGGCAAATGAAGAATTTGCCAAATGGGCTTAATAGTAGGGCGGGCATGGCAGATGAAGGAATCAGGCAACTTGATGATAGATCACTAGAACTTACAAAATCTAATGAGCTGCTCCCCACAAAAAGTAATGAATACAGCTTCAGTGATCTGTAGAACAATATTTTGAAAAGACCAATATATGTGTTATTGGATCCTCACAAGAAAAAAGAGAAAGATGGGGGCAAATACGTTTAAGAAAAATAGCTGATGAAAAATATAAATACACATATTTGAGAGGCTCAGTCAATCCCAAGCAAGATAAATTCAATGAAAACCACATCAAGGTACATTATAATCAAGTGACCATCATAATTTGACAATGAAAATCAAATAATTATCAAAGATAATGAGAAAAATCTTGAAAACAAGTAGGCAAAAACCAATATATTACACGCAGGAAAAAGGAATGTAAATAATGTTGATGTGTTACAAGAAATAATGTAAGGAAAAAGACAGTGAATTGACATCTCTTGTTTTTTATTGCATTTTAGGTTTGGGGGTACATGTCAAGAACATGCAAGATTGTTGCATAGGTACACACATGGCAGTGTGATTTGCTGCCTTCCTCCCTATCACCTATATCTGGCATTTCTCCCCATGCTATCTCTCCCCAACTTCCCACCCCCTGTTGTCCCTCCCCTATTTCCCCCCAACAGACCCCAGTGTGTGATGCTCCCCTCCCTGTGTCCATGTGTTCTCATTCTTCAACACTCGCCTATGAGTGAGAACGTGGTGTTTGATTTTCTGTTCTTGTGTCAGTTAGCTGAGAATGATGGTTTCCAGGTTCATCCATGTCCCTACAAAGGACACGAACTCATTGTTTTTGATGGCTGCATAGTATTCCATGGTGTATATGTGTTACATTTTCCCTGTCCAGTCTATCATTGATGGGCATTTGGGTTGGTTCCAGGTCTTTGCTATTGTAAACTGTGCTGCAATGAACATTCGTGTGCATATGTCCTTATAGTAGAATGATTTGTAATCTTTTGGATATATACCCAGTAATGGGATTGCTGGGTCAAATGGAATTTCTATTTTTAGGTCCTTGAGGAATTGCCACACTGTCTTCCACAATGGTTGAACTAATAATTTACACTCCCACCAACAGTGTAAAAGTGTTTGTATTTCTCCACATCCTCTCCAGCATCTGTTGTCTCCAGGTTTTTTAATAATTGCCATTCTAACTGGCATGAGATGGTATCTCAATGTAGTTTTGATTTGCATTTCTATAATGACCAGTGATGATGAGCATTTTTTCATATGTTTGTTGTCCTAGTGTATGTCTTCTTTTGTAAAGTGTCTGTTCATATCCTTTGCCCACTTTTGAATGGGCTTGTTTGTTTTTTTCTTGTAAATCTGTTTTAGTTCTTTGTAGATTCTGGATATCAGCCCTTTGTCAGATGGGTAAACTGCAAAAATTTTTTCCCATTTTATTGGTTGCTGATTCACTCTAATGACTGTTTCTTTTGTTATGCAGAAGCTGTGGAGTTTGATTAGGTCCCATTTGTCTATTTTGACTTTCGTTGCATCTTTAAAAGCTGGTGAAGAAAGCTCTGTCAATTTGGAATTCTATTATCTAACAAAAATATTAATTTAGATAATGAAAATGAGAATTCTTCATCCAGACCTGCACGACAAGAAATGCCAAAGGAAGTTTTTCACACTGAGTGGATTTGATAAGAAATAGAAACTCATATTGTCAGAAAGTAATGAAGAATATCAGAAATAGGAAATATGGGCTGGGTGTGGTGGTTCATGTTTGTAATCCCATCACTTTGGGATGCTGAGGCAGGCAGGTCACTTGAAGCCAGGAGTTTGAGACCAGCCTGGCCAACATGGTGAAACCTGTCTCTAGTAGAAATAAAAAATTAGCTGGGTTTGGTGGTGAGTGTATGTAATCCCAGCTACTTGGGGGGCTGAGGCAAGAGAATCACTTGAAATGAGGAGGTGGAGGTTGTGGTGAACTGAGATTGCACCACCACACTCCAGCCTGGGTGAGTGAGACCCCGTGTTAAAAAAAAGGGAAATATGTGGATAAATATAAAGAACTATTTTTTTATTTCTTTAAAATACACATCAGTAAATAATGTAAAAATTAAAATATTTTATTTGACCAGTTGTATATCTTCTTCATTAAAAAAAAATATGACTGTAAACCAAACACCACATGTTCTCGCTCATAAGTGGCTGTTGAACAATGAGAACACATGGACACAGGGAGGGGAACACCACACACCAGGACCTATGGGGAGTGGGGTGGGAGGGCCAGGGGAGGGGTAGCATTATGAGAAATACCTAATGTAGATGATGGGTTGATGGGTGCAGCACAGCACCATGGCACTTGTATACCTAGTAACAAACCTGCATGTTCTGCACATGTACCCCAGAACTTAAAGTATAGTAATAATTTTAAAAAGAGACAGGGTCTTACTATGCTGCCCAGTTTCATCTCAAACTCCTAGGCTCAAGTGAAACTCCTGCCTCTGCCTCCCAAGTAGCTGGGACTAGAGACACACTTGGCTGTTGATCTTATTTTGAGAAGTGATATTTGAGGTCATTGGCCTATTTTTAAATAAAATCACTTCTTTCTTGCTATCAAGTTGAGTTCCTTAGATATTTTGATATTAACCCTTTATCAGGTTTGCAAATATTTCCTCCCAAGTCATGGGTAGCCTCTTCACTCTTAATTATTTCCTTGCCTGTGCAGAAGCATTTTGGTTTGATACACTCTCAGTTGCCAATTTTTGCTTTTGTTGCCTGTGCTTTTGGGGTCATATTTAAAAAAAATCATTGCCCAGACCACTATCGTGGAGCTTGTCCTCTATATTTTCTTCTAATAGTTTTACAGTTTCAGGTCTTATGTTTAAATCTTTGATCCATTCTGAGTTGATTTTTGTATATCAGCTGACATAAGGGTTCACTCTCATTCTGCTGCATATGGAGGTCTAGTTTTGCCAACACCCTTTATTGAAGAGGGTGTCCTTTCCACAGTGTGTGTTCTTGGCAGTTTTGTCAAAGATCAATTGCCTAAATGTGTGGATTTATTTTGGGGCTCTCTATTTCTGTTCCATTTGTCTATATGTCTGTTTTTAGGTGAATACCATGTTGTTTTAATTACTATAGCTTCATAGATTGTTTTGAAATCAGGTAGTATACTGTCTCCAGCTTTGTTCTTTTTGCTCAAGGTTGCTTTGGCTACTCAAGGTCTTTTGTAGTTCCAGCTTAGTTTTAGGATTGCTTTTTCTATTTCCGTGAAAAATGACATTAGAATTTTGATAGGGACTGCACTGAATCTGTAGATTGCTTTGTGTAAGATGGTGTATTAATCTGTTTTCACACTGCTATAAAGAACTACCTGAGTAATTTATGCAGAAAAGAGATTTGAGAGAGTGGGACGTCCGACTTCTGAGCGGTAACCCTTGTTGCCCTAACGACGAAAAAGAATTAAATATGGGTGATGCTGAAAAAGGCAAGAGGATTTTTATTGAGAAGTGTTCCCAATGTCACACCGTGGAAAAGGGAGGCAAGCACAAGACTGGACCTAATCTCCATGGTCTCTTTGGGTGGAAGACAGGTCAGACCTCTGGATTCACTTACACTGAAGCCAATAAGAACAAAGGCATCATCTGGGGAGAGGATACACTGATGGAATATTTGGAGAATCCCAAGAAGTATATCTCTGGAACAAAAATGATCTTTGTCGGCATTAAGAAGAAGGGAGAAAGGGAAGACTTAATAGCTTATCTCAAAAAAGCTACTAATGAGTAATAATTGGCCACTGCCTTATTTATTACAAAACAAATGTCTCATGACTTTTTTATGTGTATCATACTTTAATAGAGCTCATACACCAGAATTTACATCATGAATGACTGACAGAATATTTTGTTGGGCAGTCCTGATTTAAAACTAAGACTGGCTTGTGGTTAAATGAGTATGTTCAGTTTTTGGATTTTAATAGTAATTCCAATTTAGTAAATTCTATCACTGTTTACTCCTTCTAAAGATATGATTAGACTTCCTTAGTAATGCTAAATTTTTCGCAAAGATGGTGAGTGCCATCTTAAAACTTACTGGAGATTGGTTTTATATTTAGATTTATATAACTGGTTATGTGAATATATTTAAGTATGGGGGGAATTCCTTCACTGTCTCAGAACCAAGCAAGATTCACCTGTGTTTTGTATTCATTTGCCTCTTAAAGGCAAGGGTTGAAGATAAATGGGTAGCAATGGCTAGTTTATATTTTTGGCCTTAACTATGCCAATCTAATTAGAATTCCCTTATTTAAAATGGTTCCTTTTACTTATTGAAAGGCATTTTGTGTGGTTTATGTGTAATATCAAAAATTATTTAACACTTCACACATTTTATAGATGATCTATAAGGTCACATGCTTTTAAAATAGTAGCCAATTAACCTTCACTCTTGGATTCTTTACTAAGTCAAACTAAGTTACAATTTAGGATTGTCTTTAAACAGCCATTCAGAAACAAAACTGTACAACTGCTGTGTATTTGTGATTGGGAATGGTGCTTTTGCCAACTTAAAAGGATTAAAGTAGAGGAGATATACAGAAATTTAAAAATGATGTGTGATCATAAGACTTAAGATAATTAAAAAGAAAACCACAGATCATGGAAAAAAAGAAAAAGAAAAGAAAAGAAAAGAAAAGAGATTTAATTTGGAGGCACAGTTCTTCCAGCTTAACAGGAAGCATGACTGAGAAATAACCATAGTTCTGATGTCAGGGATTTGCATGGGATTGTGAGGCATGATGGCTCCAGTCCTGAAAAGCACAACAGTGGCTCCATTGGAGGAGGCATAGCCATGTTTCCTTCTGGTGGTAGTGGTGGGGTCTGCAGTGGGGATGGCTGTTGGTTACTCAGTTGCTAGTGTCCTCTGCAGAGCAGGCAACTGGGGACCACAGCAGCCCCTGCTGTGTAGCTGATACTAATAGCTCCTACCCTTGTCTTTTATTCCTGTCGCTAGATGTCTCAGGTATGCCGATCTCCTTTGATTGTTCCTATGTGGTTATTCTCCATTCTTCTCTTCTACTGTGTTACCGCAGGTTCTTAAATGGACCCTTGATCACTCCCAAAGTTATTATCATTTACAGATAACAATAGTTATCCACAATAATACTCTACCATCTTACTAACATCACTCTCCTCTCAAATTCATTTAATGATTACAAGATTATTTATTTATTGATGTATTTATTTTGAGATGGAGTCTCACTCTGCAGGCTGGAGTGCAATGGCCTGATCTCTGCTTGCTGCTATCTCTGCCTCCCGGGTTCAAGGGATTCTCTTGCCTCAGCCTCCTAAGCAGCTGGGATTACAGGTACATGCCACCACCCCTGGCTAATTTTTGTAATTTTAGTAGAGATGGGGTTTTGCCATGTTAGCCAGGCTGGTTTCGAACTCCTGACCTCAGGTGACCCACCTGTCTTGGACTCCCAAAGTGCTGGGATTATAGGTGTGAGCCACCGTGCCTTGCCAATTTTTGTAGTTTTATTAGAGACAGGGTTGCACCATATTGGCCAGGCTGATCTCCAACTCCTTACCTCAGGTGATCTACCCACCTTGAGTTCTGGGATTACAGGCATGAGCCACTGCACCCAGCCAACATCTATATAACTTTAAAGTTATTTCCTTATAGGATGCTTTGGTTCTTCATCTATTTAATCATAGCTACATCTCTAGTTTTTTAAGAAGTGGTACATTCAAAGGGGACTTGCTTGGTGTTCCTAGCTCAACTTTTATCTAAGAGCAAGTAAGCCTAGACATCTCTACACGATTTGGCTGAGTGGCTTTGTGCGACTTTGGCACCCCAAACCAAGAGAACCCATGGCTTCTGTGGGCTTTCCTGGGGGTTTCAGCTCCTGTTATCAGTAACAGGCCAGTCAAAGGAGCATCATTTTTCCTTGATCCAAGAAGTGCTTACTGAATGCCTGCTCTGGGCATGGCATTAAACACTGAGCAATACTGTTCTCCAGGTATTTGGGATGTTATTCGCATTTTACCATAGCTTATATTCTTGTGTTTCAATGTAAATCTCTTAACTTTTGTTTTCTGTGTTTTGTTCTCAGGATTACATTATCCCTCATGTTGTTTCAAACTGTTTTCCAAAGGGGTTTGAGCATATACAACTACAAATCTGGGAGATCAACTCTCAAAAATAGTCTTAACTGGTACAAATAATCCCAATCAAGATTCAGTCAATATTTCTGCTTTGCAAGTTTGGGAGAGTAATTGGCTTTGAGTCACACACCAAACCTTTAAGAGGTGAGACACGAGCTTCATTCTGGACTGGAACTTGGCCTCAGCATGAGATCCTACAGTGGCGCTGATGAAAGGTGAATGTGAAGGTGGCTGTGGCATAAGGCCAGAGTGCCACTCTGCCTCTTCCTGCCATGCAGCCTGTAAGGGGCCACTAAACCCTTCCATGCCTAGACCTTCCCATCTGCGAAATGGGGTCCATACCACCTACTTCACAGGGTGTTGTGAGGACTGAAAACAATGTCAAATGTTTTTAACATTCAGATGAGGAGTGACATCAATTAAATCTGTACTATATAAAACCTACACAAAAATGGGCAGACATTTGATTAACTGTGCTTCAAATGTATGTTCAGAAAAGCATTTTACCAACTGAGAAATATGACTTATTTCTAGAAAAAAATGCAAATCAAAAGCACAATGAGATACTACCATCTCACAGCAGTCAGAATTGTTCCTAATGAAAAGTGAAAAATAGCATGCTGGTGAGGTTGCAGAGAAAGGGGACACTTATACACTATTGGTGGGAGTGTAAATTAGTTCAACCATTGTGGAAAGCAGTATGGCAATTCCTCAAAGAGCTAAAAAGAGAACTACCATTCTACCCAGCAATCCCATTACTTGGTGTATACCCAAAGGAATATAACTTGTTCTATCATAATGACACATGCAAGTGTATGGCCATTGCAGCACCATTCACAATGGCAAAGACATGGAATCAACCTAAATGCCCATCAATGGTAGAATGAGTAAAGACAATGTGGTACATATACCCCTGTGGAATGCTATACAGCCATAGAAAAGAACAAGATCATGTGCTTTGCAGGAACATGGATGGAGCTGGAGGCCGTTATCTTTAGCAAACTAACACAGGAACCAAATACTGCATGTTCTCACTTCTAAGTGGGATCTAAATGATGATAACACATGGAAAAAAAGAGGGGGAACAGACAGCGGGGCCTCCCTGAGGGTGGAGGGTAAAAGGAGGGACAGGATCAGAAGAAATAACTATTGGGTACTAGGCTTAGTGCCTCGGTGACAAAATAATCTGTAAAAAAAGCCCCATAAATGAATTTACCTATATAACAAAACTGTACATGTAGCCCTGAATCTAAGATTTTTTATTTATAATTATTTATTAGTTTCATTTATTTATAATATATATTTTATTACACTTCAGGTTCTGGGGTATATGTGCAGATCATGCAGGATTGTTGCATAGGTACATACATGGCAATGTGGTTTGCTGCCTCCATCACCCCGTCACCTATATCTGCCCAGCGAGGAGTTAGCCTAGTCACAGTCTGCCAGCAGAGGCATTGCTGGACTGTCCTGGGCTCTGCCCAGCTGCTGTGTGAGCTTTCTTGCTGTTTTGTTTATAGAGATATAGTTAGAACTGTTGTTTAAGACTGAGAGCATTCTTGTGAAAAACAAGCATGATGAGCTTGAACTTGAAAAAGTGCAGGAAAGTCTGCAAACCACATTTATGGTCATACTAGATCATCAGCTTGAGCATTGCCTTCTGATAAGGGAGCAGAAAACCTAGAATGAGAATGAATATGTGTGATATCAACATGATAATTATGGGCACAGAGGAGCTCTTGCTGCAAGAAACAAAGCTAGTAGAGATTCATTAGTAATGTCCTTCACATGTGCAAGATCTAAATGAGCAATACTATACATTGCATTAGCAGAATCACTATGTTTATGTCTTGGTGAGGAAAAGTTTGTAAGGCCAGTATTAGTGCACCTATCTCCGCCTGTTGCATAGTTTAAAAATGTTCCTGGATTTTGCGTTGCCAATTTTGCATGGCATCTTGCCACTCTATAGCTGTCTTTTCAGTTTTTTTTGAAAGATAGTATTGGCGTGAAGCAAGAGCTCAGAGAAAACAACAGATACAAATTTAACAGGCACAGTTTGCAAAAAGTTTAGGAGCTTAAAGGCTGGTAAATGAAAGCTGATATTACCAATAAAGTCAGCCGTTGCTATTTGCCAATCAAGATCACAAGCTAAGAGGGTATGAAATTGTTCCTTGCTTAAAAGCAGGGTTATATTTGGATAATTGGATGCAACGTCAAAGCCCGTTTTTGATAAGAGAAGCTATTAAATCTGTGGTCTTTTGTATATGTTTAGAGGGGTTATGAGACAGGTAAATAGCACATAAAATAAAGAAATGGCCAAAGATAAAGCCTACCTGCTAAACGAAGACATGGAAGGGATGGATATTTTAAGTGATTTCTACCATATTTTCTGACCTTAAAAAGTTATTAGAATGTGACTGCAAGTTGCCAGAATAATAAACTTACATTGAGTTAGCTTAAGTGTGTTAAAAAAAAAAAAAAAAAAAAGAAGAAAAAAGAAACTTTTTTTTTTTTTTTGAGACGGAGTTTCGCTCTTGTTACCCAGGCTGGAGTGCAATGGCATGATCTCAGCCATCTCAGCAACCTCCACCTCCTGGGTTCAGGCAAATCTCCTGCCTCAGCCTCCTGAGTAGCTGGGATTACAGGCATGCACCACCATGACCAGCTAATTTTTTGTATTTTTAGTAGAGACGGGGTTTCACCATGTTGACCAGGATGGTCTCGATCTCTTGACCTCGTGATCCACCCGCCTCGGCCTCCCAAAGTGCTGGGATTACAGGCTTGAGCCACCGAACCCGGCTGAAAAAAGAAACTTTAAAAAATGCCCTTAGGTGCTGGCCATTTTCTTGCATTAGCCTTTAGTTGGAATGTCTTAGAAGTTAGTTTGGGAAAGCAGGGCTGTGGCTGGTTTCTTTCTATTAGTTCCGGGCTCATTAGGCAGCCTCTCTTTCTAAGAGCCTGCCAGCTGTTGCTACTCTTGCCCCGAGAGGAAGGAAGATTACAAGTGGCAGCAAGAGGCCAGAAAATGA